TATGATCTCCAGCCAATTTCCTCTCTTATGCTACCAAATCATTTATTTTTCTTAATTTCATTGCGGTAAAAATAGGTTCTTATAAAAACCCAAACTCTTCATATGGATAACCAAACATTGTCATGTAAAAGAAGTAAAAGTAAGCTTATGTTTTGCTCACCTTTTCTTAAGCAGTTTTCTAGTCTGTCTTTATATGCCGTGTTCATTTGTCCATAAAAAGTTAGGAAATCTCCGAAATTTCGATCATGATGAAAGGCATCCAAGGTAAATTTCCCTAAACCTAATATTGTGTTGGATTGTCTGTAGTTATCTTTCGTTTTTGAAAGTAAAATTAACCAGGAATTCAAAGCTTAAAAATGTCGGTCATGGAAAACATTGTCGAAAAATCTTCCAAGAACAAAACTAGTCCCTGGGGGTGGTGGTGAGTTGTGTACAAAATTCCTTAGTGGGCGAGTATATTCGCGCAAAAAAAACAAACAAAAACCATGTAGTCCATGTCGATTCGATTTCAATGCATGGTTTTTATTATGGAAGAAATTATCTTCATCTCGAATATAAAATAATTGACGATTTTTTCCCGATCTTATTTTTACCTTTCTGATTCATTCAAATTGGACTACCTGTGACTTTTGTATCGGGAGGTCCGCTTTTAGGCAGTGCCTAAATATGTATATTATTATTATTATTGAAGAAAGGAAGAAAGGAATGATTGAATGATATTTATTCAAGTACTTTCAGGCGTGCTAGAGTAGGTATGGATGATAGTTAATGAAGCGGATTGTATAAGCAATCCAATGTCAGTCGTCGCTTTAGGGCTATATTGAAGCTACTTTGTCTTGCATCTTGTTTTAGCTTTAAAATACAAATATAAATTATTCAAGTTTATCAATGATGAATTTATTATACAAATATAATAAATGGATGGCCATGGTTCAGCAAAGGGTCTCTTGATTTGGGGACAGAAAATCACTTGGAAAAAGAGTTCTAGAACTTTAATTTCAGAAAATTCCGCCCTTTTTTACAAGGATATCTATTTGTAATTAAATGTCTTGAGCATGGCTTACGAAAAATTCATTAGGAAAGAACATTTTTAACCATTAATATATGCTGGACATGATAAGGAGCAATTACAAAAACCACATCAAAATAATTGCCCACGTCATGCGCAGACTTGGTAGGTTTTTTTTTTGATTTGCTGATGTATGTTTGATTGAAATCACTTATATGTACATACATGTATTGAATTCTGAAATAGATAGAACTGAAGAAGACCTTATAATTAACAATGGTWGCATGAAATAGCTACGGAATACGGTTTATAAACTTGTGGCCCCGAAATAAACTTTTCATTGAAAATACTTTCTATTGAAACAGCAAGAATGTTTAAAATCTTGATTTCCTTCCTGAGTTTTTCAAGATATATTTATATACKCTTCAGTCATGATTTTGTCTAGCGTGATCTCAAAACTAGATTAAAATTTTAATTTACACTAAAATCTCATTTATGTCACCGATTCATCAAAAAATTATGGGATTGCAATAGTAGATATGGAATAATATATCTGATGACTCGAGTTTATTTTTTTAAGCTCAATCGAGCCAGTTTTTGATTTCAACGGTACAGAACAGCTTCAAACATGCTGATAATGGCGCAACTAAGTTTTCTTTTGTTTGACTTCTGATAAATGAAACACATCTAGCTATTTTACRTTCTCCATATAGCTGTTTCTCAATATATTCTTATATCTTCACTTCTTATCAAAACCCATACACCCCTCGTAGGCGAGACTCATCCATGATAATTTTCAAATTAGTATTTAATAACTCATATATTTTGTTTTCCGTATTCTGTCTTCTCATTTCATTTTGACAAYAGCAAYTTGTAAATCTCTGGCCTGCAAGGCTTAGTTCTGGTAAGTGCTTCTACCATTTCTACTCTGTCCCAAGCATCAGGTGTTTCTTGCCGGGGTTTCTGCTCACCAGTTATTCTGGTAAGTTGCTGATAGGTTTTTAAAGTTTTTAATGATATGARATGAGATATTATTACATTTAAATGATTCCTGTATTTCAACAATTATGCTTAATTCATCGAAAAAACATTTAGAGTCATAATTAATCTTAAAAATAAARCTTGTCTGGAGGTGCATTTCGGAGTTTCGTGGAAACTAAGCAAACCATTTTTGGCCGTCACGAAATGACTCCACTTTACCATCTATTTATGATTTTATTTATCYCTAGAATCTTTTAAATATTTTTTCACATCAGAAAACTGAACTGGCTTGTTTTGTCTACTGGTTTTTCGAATATTTTTTAGATTCAACGGATGGATTTTTGTTCACCMAGTTGGATGCATCCAGTTTATCCAGGTTCACTCTTTGTTCCGTGAGTGACAGGGCAGAGAAACGGTTTTTGGCCTTTCGTTCGCCATAAGGACAGCTTTACGTATTTAAGCTCAATATTTTGTAAACACGTTCTTTCTGAGCCAAATAGCAAAATTTCAAATGCGACCAAAATTTATTGAATGCGTATTCGAGATAAAAAGTCGTGTACTTTGGGAGAGCTGTTATTTTGATCAGCAGAAAAACTGACATTTTCGCAAATACCAAGTAGATTTACTCTAATAATTCAACAAAATTTAGTCACATGTTTCGAGCGGCAGTGAGACAAATGAAACGCTTAAAAAGCTGSAGTATTAAACTCAGCTAAATAAAACAAATCGTGAAAGAAGCGGGCTTGTAGTTTTTCTGCCCTGTCTCCGTGAGTTATTTGCATAACGTGACAGAAAAAACCTATAAATTGCTGGAAATTTYCTACGAATTTGATATAATCGTGAAGATTAGAAGTGTTTCAAATAGGAATTCAGGATAATATCAATACGTTTCTTTTTTAGCACTAGGAATTGGGACATTTGCAACTTTTAATATTATTGAAAGGTGTTCGCCTGACATGACGGAAGCAAGCGGCCTAATATAATTTTTTTTTTTTTCGTAACTAAATGCACGCAATCACTATAAGAGGATGACAAACCTACATGATTCAGTATGTACTTTCATACTCACGAGAGTATTTATATCCTTATTCATTATTAAATAATGTGGTTGGCATATCAAAAGACTCTCGGCTCATATTGTATTGTACAAAAACCAAACCTGGACCTATAACGACAAAAAAATTAATATTTCTATTTTTTTTTTTTTTTCTTGTATCTTCCTGTTCGTTGGCCTAGCACCCAAGGAACTTTTAAAGGCGCTGAAATACGACACACAAAAACGTCCAACTTTTCGCGCAACATTGTTGCGGCGCAAGTTTGAAAACAATGTTGCTCGTTTTACACCCTATCTATCCAACTTGTCACGCAAACAAAATCTTTTGTTGCAAGTTGAGAAAACTTGTTGCGAAAAGTAGAAAGTAGATCAACTTTCTGCAACAAATTTGCGATTTGGTGTACCCAAAATAATAGTAATAAAAAGAGAATACTATCAGATTGGCAAGGGTGAATGGACAAATAAACATGGTGCATGGTGTAGAGATCGAGACTATTAAATACTATATAAAAAACACTTGAAATATGAACTATTAAAATCTATACTCTATATGTAATATATATAATGTATACACTTATTTCAATAAAGTTAGTCAACAAAAATCTAGAAAGCTGTGATCGCTGAGAATCATGGGAAAAATTT